TAAATTTAATATTTGATGGTATAAACTTAATGTAATATATTTATTTTCATAAAAATTAAAATAAAAAATATGTGTTTAGAATTTTGGTAAGTATAATTTTTTTTTATGAAGTATTTTGATGTATCACCAACAAAGAGTATGTTGCTAAAAATGTGAGTGGAAGTATAAAAATAAATATCAGCAACATAGTTTTTCTTGGTAAAAGTTGAAAATCAGCAACCTAACTTTGCTTGCTGAAAATTAGGCAGAATTCCAGTGCCGATTTCCAACCATATTTCTCTCAATTTTTAGCAACATGAGCCACGTTGCTGAAACCCTATCTTCAGCAACGTGGCTTATGTTGTTGAAGAGGGTGAGAAAATTCACCCCTATTCTCATCGGATTCCGATGAATATTTTTAGCAACATAAGTTATGTTGCTGATACTATATTTTCAGCAACATAGCTTATGTTGCTGATGTAGCAACAAGATTTTGGTTGGTGATGTATTACCCACCAAGCCTTCTCCAACAAAGTTTTTAGCAAGCAAACCCATCTTGCTGAAGAACTTTCAACAACATGGGAACCACTTTCAGCAACATGTCTATGTTGCTGAAGCTAAAGATTTTAGTAGTGTTTAAAACTTGTCATGCATTTTTTTTTTTTTAAACACATTATATTACATTAGTAGAATAGCCTTTCCGTATGGTGCCGACTCCTGAATTATGTGTCAACACCACGTCTGTGTCGGAGTTTTAGGTGCTTACCATATGGTGCTGACACCACGTCTATGTCAGAGTTTTGGATGCTTACCATATGGTGTCGACACCAAAATTATGTGTCGGCACCAAAATTATGTGTCGGCACTATACCCGTGTCGGATCATTTCACAAAAAAACATTAGAAGGAAATCAACCAAGTTGATGTAACCATGTCCATTCGGCCAGTTTGGCCTTTGAGCGACCTCAGCTCCACCACCATTTTCCCATACTTGACATATTTTTGCTTGCACTTCTCACGAAATCGAGTCACGGATCGCTTGAGAGCCTGTGAGAGAACTCCTACCTTTTTCTAATTCTTGATAGTCAAACATCTCACTGGGTTAGAAATCCAATCTATAAAAGAAAAGTGTTCTAGATTCAATAGAGTTATAACCCAGTAAAATAAGTAAATTTGTACTCGTTCAAACAACTTATCCTCATTGAGCTCCTTGCATTGAAAAGCGGTTTCATTTCTACTCAACCACAGTGACTATACTATGGCAAACCATAACATGTTTCATCCGTTTTTTAGATTTGTTGGTCCCTTTAGCCATATATGTTGGTGGAAGACCTCCAAGCAAGTATTTCCGAGGACAAAATGTAGCTCCCACCAATTTAGGCATCTAGACCATAACTTGGAGGAAACTTTACAAGATACAAAAAGATGGTTTGCATAGCTTGTCATGCATATTAATAGTAACAAGTGTAATAAGAATAAAGCCAAAGTTAATGGTATATGAGAATTTAACATGTGAGCAAAACATAGATTGAGCAATTAATGTAAAATCAATTGAGCAACTACCCCTCCAATTATATTTAAGTTAAATATTTCTTTCTTCTTATTTTTCGAATGTGCAATTCCCTCATTTAAGATTATAAATAGATTAGATTTTTTTATAATTTTTTTCCTTTTTGTACCACATGTTGGGTAACAACTTTTTTCTTTTTTTTTTTATGTCGACATTATTTTATTTTCTTAATTACGTACGTGCTCTCATTCCATCTCTCATGTATACTAACTAAAAGTCACAAGAATCTCTCTCAATCTAGTAGATATCTAATTACCTATTATGCTACTAATTATTGCCTAATTAGTCAATTTCATAATGAAATAGAATATTGTTAGCGCGAGGACCGTATCACAACCAGAGAAACAAACCTGTTAGAAATTTAGAACTATTCTAACCCTACCAACTACGTACCAATCAAAGTTGCTTAATGTCACGCCCCAAACCCCAAATTCAAGACGCGACAGACACCGTACACTTGTGAGACGGGTCCCACAAGTGCACAAGGCTCGGAACTTATCAAATTCACACTCTGATACCATCAAAATCTGAAGATCAAATCTTTAAAATTTACTCCGATAACATAAATCTCCAAATACACTCTGGTTTACAAGATCATGATTTACTTCTAAAATCTATATCA